GGCGGGCGGGCGGGCGAGGAGGAGGGAGGGAGGGAGGGAGGAAAAACAAACAAAACAACAAAAAAAATAAGCGCGGCCACGCGCGAGGAGGGAGGGAGGGAGGGAGGGCGTGCTTGGGGGTGCCTGGGGGATCCCTAAGAGAGAGCCATCTCGCCACCCTCCTCCTGCTGCTGCCCCTCCCGTGGCGAGGAGGTTGATGCAACGCAGGCTGCGACGACGGGTCGTGCGTTCGCTTCGAACGCTCGGGGGCGAAAAAAAAGCTCGAGGGAGGGCCCGGCCTTAACGCCAAGCATCTCGAGCTAGGGAGGAGGGAGGAGGAGGAGGGAGGAGGGAGGGAGGGCGTGCTTGGGGGTGCTGGGCTGCTCCAGTGGCCCGCGGGCGTCCTGGAGGCCCTCGACCTCCCCCTCTTGGCATCGCTCGGACGTGTGCATCTTTTCTTCGGCGAGGACCATCGAGGAGCATCCTTGATCATTTGGCGAAGCAACCACGCCCGAAACCGAAAAAAGCACAGGGACTGGACGTCCGAGCGATGGCCAGCCCTCGACCTCCTCCTCCTGCCCCGCTCCCGCCGCCGCCGGGAAGAGCTTGGAGAAAGCCGGCACGCTCGGGAGCTCCCCGTCGGCGAGGAAGCCCCAAGGGCCCAAGGGGCCTCCGCCCCGCCCGCCACGCCGCCCCGCGTGGGGCACGACCTCGCCGCCGCAGGGCGGGGGCGCACTCGCTCTCCCGCCTGCCCTCAGGAGGGGAAGAAACACACAGACACAATTAATCGTCGATTCCCCCCAAAATATGGGGAAATATGGGAAGTGGAGGGGAAGACAGAAACCCAGAAAATATGAAAAAATATGGGGAATCCTGTTATTTGTGCGTGTGTGTGTGTATTTATTTGTGTGTCCTGGGGCCCCTTCAAACACTCCCTCCTCTGCAGGGCTCGTTTCGACTCCTCCGCTTCGGTTCGACTCGACTTCGGTTATCTCCGTTTCCGATTCGGTTCGGTTTCTCCTCCCGATTTCGGCTCCGACTTCTCAATGGAGGCCTACCAGGCTGCCGATTTCCGCCGATTCGACTTTTCCCGACTCGGCTGCCCATTTCCGCCGATCCGATTCATTTCGATCGCCGATCCGACGTGTCGAGTCGATTCTGGGCCTTCCTGCCTTTGGTAGCAAATCATGGCAGCCTACTGTATTAATCCTCTTACGTAATTTCGTGTTTTGCGTCGACTTGCGTCGATTAGCGTTTAGGATTCGATGATATGGCGCCGATATAGCGTGGGCTAGCGTCGATGTAGCGTCGATTCAAGGCGGCCAGCTGCCTGGCCGTTCGTCCACACAGCCAAGACGCTGCACTAAGGACTGCTTTGGGTTCGGAAGGGGCTCGCTGCTCATTGGGTCATTCCGTGGTTGTTCCTCTAGCCCTACTCGTGCACCCAGTCGCTTTTGGTATCAAAAAGGGGCTTCGTTCCTTATTCTGCACTCGGTATGATAGCCGCTTGACAGAATGTCCGCAGGGACACTAATATCTAGAACGGCACGCCGAATGGGTGTCGCCGCTTGAGCTTGCCCTGACGCGCGTAACCTTAATTTCTCCCTCCTCCTGCTCCTCCTCCTCCTCCTCCTTTTCCTCCTCTGTCCGCGTCTCGTGTGTCGCATTACTCTGTTGTCGCCCTCCTCCATCGTCATCATATTCCCTAGTTGTCCTCCTCCACCTGCTTCTCCTCCTGCTCCTCCTCCTCATACGCCCCCTCCTCCCCCTCCTCCTCCTCCTCCTCCTAAGTACCGGTATTCCTTCTTTTTCGACTTTGTTCGTTCTGTCCCCACTCGCCCCCCTCCATCGGCATCCTCGCCTGATCGTTCGCCTTCCTCCTCTCTCCTTCCCCTTCCGCCCCCTCTCTCTGCCCTTCCTCCCTTCTTCGTCTTCCTCCCTCCCAGCAGGGTGCGAGCCCTAACGCCCGCGTTGAGACAGGCACCCCGAGCGGCCCGTGTCTGCCTGGATTCTCTGTTGCAGCGCTTGCGCGAGCGCGTGTTCGCAGCATGAGCATCAGACAGCGTGGGCTCTAGCCAGAGGCCTCCATTAGCCAAGGCTGCCCCTCAGAGCAGGAAAAGACACCGCTGCCGCCGTCCCCCCCTCGTCGCCACGGCTGGAGTCTCTCTTCGACATTTTTGCCAGAGAGCACCGCGGGAGAGGTCTGGCGAGTAGCGGCATGGATGGCATGGGTACCTCGGCATTTGTGTGTGTGTCCCCCTCATCACCGAGCGCGTTCCACTACAGCCAAGTCGTTAAAATAAGGAACAGTTTGGGTAGGAAAGGGGCTCGATATTCCTTTGGTCTCTCTATGGCTTTTCCTCTAGCCTCCGTCGTGCACGCAGGCGCTTGTGGGGCCAAAAAGGGGCTTCGTTCCTTGTTGATTGTTCCCTCTTTCAGCAGCCCGACTGTACTCGCAAAGTGCCTACTCGCCACCGAGCGCGTTCCACTGCTGCAGCTCCACTCCACCAGGACAGGGCTC